GTTAAAACTGAAAAGAAGCACACAGTGCAAGCTTACTGATCTAGCTACCTTGATTGTAGTCTTACGGTTCTCATATAATTGTAATAAATGTTGTCTTTTGGTTTTTACAATCTCCAGATCCCCTAGTGCTATAAAAATTGAGATTAATTACCAAGTAACCTAGAACTAATCACTGGCGATGTAATTGGCATTAGTGTTAGTCTTGTGGCAACGATAAATCACCTGATTGAGTTTGATTCCTCCAGAATGTGGGAAAGGGATGCATTGGAGTGTGTCAGTGATATGTTATGTTAACCTTAATTCCACTATTCTGGGTGAAAAACCCTTGGAATCAAAGCACTGAAGGATAGTGTGAATGCGTCACTCTAGATTTTGATTCTCAAAAGACTATTGGTGGCCCTGTTTTCATTACTACCGTATGGAGCTGTGTGTACCTTGTAGTGGGAGATACTGGTAAGAACGTGGTAGTCTGCTGTTAGCTTTGGTCCCATTTAGTAAGAAAACCCAATAAAACATGTTTCAGTCACACAAACACAAAGCATAATTATCTACATGTACAAGAAATGATTAGTACAAAAGTGAAGGTTTGAAGGCAGTTTTTTGACTGCAGCGTTACTGTTTTGGATTACGGTTTGTGACTTGTATTTCTGCAATATGGATGACATTGACCCATACTTCTCAATGCAAGAGGAGGTTTATAAGAACCTGCAGCTTACTAAAACACTCTATGAAGATTGGAAGGGCGGTTCGGGTCCTGAGGATACAAAAATACTCACTCGAATTCGACAGACGATCAAGAATATTGACTGGGATCTAATGGACTTACAGGTTAGCGTTTTGTGAAATCCCAACACATGAATTTGATATTTTGATTCGTTTGGTGTTGGAGAATCGGTCCTTTACTTTCTGCAATAACCAATTTTGGTGACTTTAACCAGGCTATAAATAGGTCTAATTTGAGGTTCGTAGGGTATACTGCTTGCATTTTACCTGAATCACTGCGTTAGCCTACCTCATAAAGTTGTATTTTTGGAATTTTTAAACCCTGAAGATCTCTCATTAAAGGGTTTAGAAGCAGAAATTCTTCAGGGTTGGGTTTTCGAGAAAATTAAAAAGCAAGAAAATTATGGTATCCTGCCTTACTGATGCGAAAGAGCGTGAGTTGTCAGTGGGAGACTAAACTTTTAGTATGTGGAATTGGTGTCGCATTATATTATATGTTGACCTCACTATTAGACGGTCTTCAGATCTCGTTTCTTCATATTTCCTCGCCTTCGTCAGTTGCCCGACTTTTCCTATAGATCATTTTAACGTCTCCATTATGAATGTCAGGAGTATCATCCTAAATTTTCTCATTAGAAATATGGCTAATTTGTGTAAGCGCTCAACTGTCAATCAGTGGGTCTTGGTTTCAGATCCAATTCACACCTACTTACATACTGTCAGGTACTATTTTTACCTGTCATTTGTTCCTGATGAGGTGATGAATGTATTTCCATTCTTTCCAATTGTAGCATCAGAAGTTTGCATTGTCATTAGTAGGTAGGTAACCAGGGAGTAGCTTTTTCTAATTGTTAAAATAATCTGATCAGGTTAACTTTGATTTTTCATTTACTAACTCTGATATCCTTAGCGAGTAATGGAGTTCTGTTATATCAAGCCTTGAGTAGTGTATCTGCCGTGTTTGTTTATTCTAAGTTAATTGGAGAGTTTGTATGACGGGATGGTTGACAAGCAGTGCAGCCAAAGAAGTCTTATCATCACTAAATTCTGACTTGTTCGTGAACAATCTCCACTAATTGATATCACTTTTTATGTTTTCTCACTCACTAGTCCCGGAATATCTCATATGATAAGTAAGTAGCCGTTAAGTATTTTTCTTACCAGTCGTGCCCATGGATGTAACAGGTCTCGGCTATTTAACAATTGTGATTTCGACAGTATGTTTTCATACTGTTGGATACTGTCAGCTGTTGTTCTTGATGGTTTAAGACGTCGATTTGGAAATTATGGGATGGATATAAGTATTGACTTAAATATCAGTATCCACCTCATGGCTAGCTTCTGAAGCTGTAGTGAGAAGTAGTCAGTGGATGCTCATCGAAGGCATTTGTTAGTTGTAGTGCTCTGAGATGGTTAGTACATGTCTTCCTCGACAACAGGCATTGTTAGCTGACATAGGGTCAGATTGGAAAAGGCCAGTGGTGGTTAAACCAAAACATGGCTTTATCAAATCCACAACAGTTAGTTTAGGCCAGCCACCTAGGAATTAGATATTCTATTTACCTTAGGTCCCTATAACACGTGATACAACCTCTCCTATTCATCTGTTTGTGGTTGATACTTTTAGAATTAATTATTTTGAACTTAACTTTTTAGTGTGTGCTCATAGCTCAGTGTAGGGACAGTTTCAAACAATGTTTGTGAACTAAGTGGTATGAGAGGAAAGCGAGTTCATGTCATTAATCCTGTGTCCAGTTGACCAGTTTAAAAACTGCTGCATACATTCAAGTACTCTGTATATTCGCTGTTGTTGTCGTTGGTGTTTTTGGATCTCAGTTACTCAGGACACATTTTTCATGTGCTAAGTTATGAGTCACACTTGTAAATTTATGAGGAGCTAATGATACTACCCAGTTCTTCAGACTGAAGTAGGTGGTTTTCAAATATTGGCTTACATCATTCTGGTTGGTTACAGGTTTAATTATGAGCTGACATCAGTTAGAGAACCACTGAAAACCAGGGAGTATTGGACAACCGTTTTGACCTAGTTTGGCACTCTTCAACAGTACTAACCCACCGGGACTCGAATTCAGGACCTTCCGACTACAACCAGCTTGTAGACCATTCAGCCACTATAACCTGATCCAATAGCCCATGAATTCCAACTTCTGTCAATTCGCTATATATGTCTGTCTGTCTGGTTTCAACCTAGAACTTTACACCAGTGTGTAGCAGTTCGAGTCGCCACACTTCACTCAGCACACAAAGCAAGTGAAGAAAGTAAAAAGAAATGCAAAATAGGGGCAGTAAACAGAGATATGAGGCAAAAAGAATAGTAATAACGTAGAGCAATATGGCTATATTGGGTATTATAAGTCGCTATATATGGCGCAACCGCCAACCAATGTCATCGGTAACTGTCCCCTTGGCTGTCTTGGTGGATCCCGCTCATCACGGCTTCTCACCAGAACTCCGGTAACTTCCTGTGTAGAGCCAGTCGCTAGCGACTAATTTCCATGCATTGGTTTGTATGGATTCGGTTGATTACAGGATTGTCCATGAGCTGAGATCAGTGAAAGAACCGCTAGGAAACCAGGAAGTACTGGACGTCTGCCTTGTCCTAGTTTGGGACTCTCCAATACTACACCCCTCCCCAAGTGTTCGGACACAGAACTATCAGGGATTCAAATCTGCGACACAGGCTGAAACGTCTAAACAAAGTAAGGTATATCTTCACAATTCTAAATTTTCAATAACTTTCAAAGGGAAGACTTTTTATTTCACAGGGAGATCATTCCTGATGCATTCCAAGGAAATGGTATCTTTGCTTATGATATAAATTTTTACCTCGTTAAATTGAAGAAGATTAAACAAAAGTCTGTGTAGGCTGAAAGCACGTTTCACTCAATTAATTGTTCTGTTTATGCTATCAGTGATGGATTGTGATCACACAGAACAACTTTTCTGGTGTTAGTTGATTGAGACGATTGGCAGCAAGTCAAGGACTTGGGTTACGCGCTTATTCGTATTTGTTAGCACGGCGTATCAGCAACCTCAAAGACACTGATTTCCACTTATAGATTTGAGTCAGCATCCCCGAGTGCTGCGGTAAAGACACTACAACTGTGCTATTCTGGCTTACGACTGGTTTCCTGTAGGACTGTAATGAACGCATTGATAGGTCACGTGACAGATGTGTCCCACTAGCTTAAGCTGTCCGTTTTCAACCTATAGGTCACGATTTCGAGTCCCATTCAGTCTATTTCAGCCTGGTCAACCGGGCAGTAGTATCACCAACCCTCACACGATAAGTGTGTGGATCTTAGCCTGGCTACATGAAAAATCTGTTCCGGGTAAGTAAGCTTGAGTAGAAACAGCTGACAGTAACCGATGGCATGTGTCTAGTTCCTTGTGTTGGGCAAAGAGGGAAAATCAATCGACGAGGCTATAAAGTTACATAGATTGAGATGGCTAGGTCACGTGGTGCGCCGACCTAACCATCGCCTCCCCCGAGGGGCGTTACTAGCTGATATAGGTGCAGGTTGGAAAAGAGTAAGTGGTGGCCAAACAAAAACATGGCCTCATCAATCCATGAAATCCCTGACAGTTAAACTGAGTCAGGTAGGGAGATGCAGACTTTCGGGTTGGGGCCCTCGGGACTAAAAGAATCAATGGCTTGAGACAATAGGTGACATGGCTGAAAATCGTTGTCAATGGCTTACGCAGATGTATTCAGTCTCTTGTGTAATCTTTCATATTCCTTTCTACCATTACTCATTCTGTTTTACTCTTATACTTGTCAGAACTCTATTGATTCTCTTCACTCATCTTCTTGTCTACTTTTGTGTGCTATTTGGAACATGGCAACTCGAAGTGCTGCACTTCGGTGCCAAGTTCTATGTTGAATCCAGACAGACGGACCTTGTGTTGGAGCTGACTTTCTGTTTGTTTAGGCTGTAGTACCTGTAATAGATTTTTCAGGCATCAGGCTAAGAGTCACATTTATCGTGTGAGGGCTGATGATACTAGTGTTCAGTTACCCAGACTGAACTCGGGACTCGAACCCGCAGCCCATCGGTTGAAAACCAACAGCTTAGCCCAATGAACTGATTGGATTTTGTCGATCAGGTTTTCAGGGCAATCATCAAGCTGGATAGCTGGCCATTTCTGTGTACTTGGAATCGGCTTTAAGTTGGTTGAAGTCAATAACTCGACTATGATGCCACAAGACAACTAACCTATATCGTACAATTTTTATTATTATTTTTTTATTTTAGGAGACTGTTAGCGCCGTTGAAAGTAATCCTATGAAATTCCGTCTATCGAATAAAGATATATCAGCAAGACGTCAATTTCTGTCAGAAGCAAAAAGTGTTATTAAAGCTGTAAAAAGTAATCTACCCACATCAAATATTGATGGAGCGATAAAGAATTCAAATATTGATTTTACGGTTCATATGGCACCACCACCGCCACAACAACAAGAAGGCGTTTCATCATTATCATCACCACCGTCATCACTGCTGTCTAACGGAGATGTGAAAATGAAGTAATTAAATATTTTTTATTTTGTTATAAAAAATGATGACTTTTTATCTGTGTATTTTTAAAAAAATATTTTTATTTTTGATTATAGCTTGATTCCACACCGTATTTTTGGTACAACTATGGAATTTTCAGCATGTGATATCAGTAGGCTGGCTGGGTGGCTGGTTGGATTCAACATAGAACTTGGCACCGAAGTGCAGCACTTCGAGTTGCCATGTTCCAAATAGCACACAAAAGTAGACAAGAAGATGTGTGAAGAGAATCAATAGAGTTCTGACAAGTATAAGAGTAAAACAGAATGAGTAATGGTAGAAAGGAATATGAAAGATTACACAAGAGACTGAATACATCTGCGTAAGCCATTGACAACGATTTTCAGCCATGTCACCTATTGTCTCAATCCATTGATTCTTTTAGTCCCGAGGGCCCCAACCCGAAAGTCTGCATCTCCCTACCTGACTCAGTTTAACTGTCAGGGATTTCATGGATTGATGAGGCCATGTTTTTGTTTGGCCACCACTTACTCTTTTCTAACCTGCACCTATATCAGCTAGTAATGCGATGGTTAGGCATGCGCAGCACGTGACCTAGCCATCTCAATCTATGTAACTTTATAGCCTCGTCGATTGATTTTCCCTCTTTGCTCAACACTCTGCTCCTAACGTCAACATTACTTACCTTATTATACCACCTAACGCGCGAAAAAGATCGTAGACATCTCTGATCAAAACCAGTCAACCTTTTCATGTCTTCAACTCGTATTGGCCATGTTTCAGAGCCATAGAGAAGAACGGAGCGAACTGCTGAGCAGTACACACGTCCCTTGGTTGATAGTCGGATGTCACGCCTACGCCAGATGTGGTGTAAGTTAGCGAAGGTAACTCTAGCTTTTTGGATCCGTGCTGAGATTTCGTCGCCAATCAGTCCGTTGGTGCTGATGCAAATTCCCAAATAGGTGAAGTGGTCAAAATGTTCTATCACTTCACTCCCTATCACTAAGCTAGGAGTTGACGTAGTCCAGTCCTGTAGCAGCATTTTACATTTTACAGGGGCGAATGGATGACACTTTCCTAGGCCTCTCAAATCAACAGTCATTGTCTTTATGGATTGGTACCATGCTTCGATTTGACCACCATTAACACTTCTAATCTCATCCTATTTCAGCTTACACTGCGTGACAAGGAAAGGTGTTAGCCTGTGCTGGGCATAAAATGCGTGAATCGATGTAGCTTCATAACCTCATCGATTGATTTTCCTTCCTTATCTCTAACACTCTATGCCCGACGTCATCATATAGCTGACCATATTTTTTGCCACTTAACACGAAGGCTGTAAAGCTAACACCTGTTATAAGAGTTAGCTAGTCCCTTCAAGTCTCCTACTCTCAACAGCCCTAAAAGAAGGAGAGAGTGAACTGCTGCAAGGTACATATGTCGTTTGATCGACAGCTGGATATCTCGTCTACACCGGAGATAGTGCAAATTAGTAAATGTCTCACAAGCCTCTAGCTTAAAGCCATATGTTCCACTGGGAATGTAAAGGTATAAAAAATAAAAAAATAAAAAAACACACGAGCCTTTTGTGTATCTATGGTGAGATTAGAGCTGATTCAACTTAAACGCTCAACCATTTCACTGCTTATCTTCAAAACTACGAGTTGGTGCAGACCAGTCCTATAGAATCATCTTTCATTTGAAAGAAGCAAAGCGCGCATACAAACACACCAAGGCTTCTGCTGAAGGTATTCTGTAGATACCGCATTTTGTAAGCGTCTTCACGTAGAAGGAATATTATATAATCTGCAACATGTGTTTTAACCACCTCAGTTGGCTTTTTTGAACAGCTTTCCCTGCTTACGTGATTATGATCACATCGTTACACCTTGTATGATTAGTTGAATGAATCCCTCTGTCGTCAAAAACCTCTAATCTCTTACTTATCTATCTTCTGTCACTATTTCTCACAACCATACGCCTTCCTTGACGGGCAATGTTAGCTGACATAGGGTTAGGTTGGAAAAGAGCCAGTGAGTGGTGGTCAAACTAAAACATGGCTTCATCAGTCAATGAAATCCACAACATTTAATTTAGGCCACCCAGTCACTTAGGAAGGTGTAGACTTCCTGACTGGTTGGGGTCCTCGAGACGGTAAAAATCAATGACTAATAAAATAATTGGTGATATGGTTCAAAATCGTTCTCAGTGATGGCGCAGATGCATCCACTCCTTGTGACTTATAATACCCAATAAAACTATTTTGTTCTCCGATATTACAATTCTTTTTGTCTCATATCTTTCTTTACCGTCTCTATTTTGCGTTTCTTTTCACTTTCTTCTTCAACTATGAGTGCTGAGTGAAGTGTGACGACTCGAACTGCTACACACTGGTGTAAAGTTCTATGTTGAAACCAGTCATACATGAAGACCGAAGGAAATGCTTCTAAGTACATGCACCCTTCAGTGAATGAAATAATTTCATGTGTGTGTGTGTGTGACCAATTTGTCACAAGTTTGCAAATAACAAATGTGCATTTTGTGTCTGTTCTGAGATTTTGTGTCAGCAATCAGTTCAACTGTGATGATGCAACTTCACAAATAAGTGAAATGGCTAGCATATTCCATCATTACACTCTCTGTCCTAAAGATAAGAGGGGAAGAAGTTTTCCTTTGATAATCACAAGCGGATCAGCCTGGTTATCATGATATCTAAAATCCTGGGTTACATAATAATATGAGTGAATCATTGAGCTAAATTATGATTGGTCATTCAGATTACTTCCGGAACGCTCAAAACAGCTGTTTACAAATCAGAATGAGTCATAGAATTAAAAATCAACTAAAGAAGTCTCTTAGGTACTGATTGACAATGATCAGGTTGAATGCTAACAGGTGGTTATTGATTTCTCCATCAGAAATGTCTATCACGTCGTTAAGCCCAGTATGAAACAGTTTATTCAAGAGAAATAGGATTTACAACAATTGTAAACTGGACCTTTAGGGGGAAATAGGGAGGGGGAGTCTGTAATAAAGTGAAAAAAATGTCTTTACCGTAACCTTCGCTCGAATGCTGTTCAATGTTTTACAGTCAATAGTTACGTGAAAACAATTACTAGAGATTGATCGTGAATTGAATTCATTTAGAGAACCATAGAAATCCAGGTTGTTATGGACGGTTGTTTCGCCGTGGTTTGGGACTCTTCGGCAGCACGCACCCACGAAGTCTCCAACGATCGAACCCCCAGGACTTTTAGGTGACGAGGCCAGAACGTTGACCATCTAGCCAATAGGACGGAATTTAGTAGCCCAGCAGTTACTAACTTCTAATTCGTGATATGTAGTGCGATCGCCAGCCAGTGTTATCTGCAAATATATTTGCCCCCCCCCCACCTACAGATCACGATTTACCACCAGGACTTCAAGATCGGTCACTTGTTGGTAACTAGACGGCCATCAGCTTTCCTCTTACTCCTTCAAAAGATGATAACCATGTATCCTGATTTTTTGAAAGACACCATTGATGATGCTGTGGTGAAACAGTTGTTGAGTAGTGTAAGCTTCATGTTTGTTCACTAGGTAGGTGACGTCGGCTGATAACTAAATCTACCTAGAGATTCAACTACTTTTGGTATTGCTTATTCATTGTGTATATATATACATGACAGGAGAGTGTAGATAATTCAAGGCAGTCATTTATTTATCAACTAGATTCTCTTTTCTTTTCATAGAAATACCCAATGCAGATATTTAAATTAAGTAGGGTACTATGACCATCAGTAGTATATATAGCGTCATGCATTTATCCTTATTATTATTTTTTGATGGGCATTAAGGAGATCACATATATTTTGTGATGTGAATAATTTCGATTTTCAAAAGGAAACTGTGTTATGAGGTATCACCCCCTCCCCCTCGAACTGCGTAAAATGTAAAGTGCTGATTTAATTTGACGTATTACCTACACTTGTCCAAGTAGCTGGTGAGAATTCGTGTGGTTTTCAACGGATTCAGGCAAACCTCATACATCATTGATGCGCTTGGCGTCAAACGACCGAAGCAGCTGTCTGGTGTGTAAACCACTTCGATCCTCACTCGTTAATTTGAGTGGTATTCAACTACTCACATCAGTTAATCAGTAGTCTATATAGATATGGAATACCTTAAAGATGCTTTAAAGTAGACTTTTCTTGTTGAAAAATAGAACCTTTCATATAAATAAGAATGCATAACTTCTGTTATAGATGTTCCATTCATCAGTTTTTAGTTGGTGAGATAAGATGGGAGCACTGGGAAGTTGTCTGGTCTTAGTTTGACAGTCATCAGCAGTTTACTGGATAGGGGTTGCTAGTCTCCAACATCCTACTTTTCCTGTCTTCGTGTTGAGGTTGAGGAATCCGTTGGCTGGGAATCACCCCCTCTAACTTCTTGAGTGAATGACAAGCATTCTATCAATAAGCTAATGATGTACACGAACTGTGAAAAAGTAACATTTTGGTGTGGTTGTGTTCTCTGAGCTGGATGGTTTGGTTGCGAAGCTTTCATTGCTCTACTGAGCAACATCTTCAGCGCATACTTCGATGTGAAGTGAGCTTTTAGAATTCTCTATGAGTTTATTAGTCATCTCTTCTAGTGATCCTGAGCGTGATTGGTTGTTTTCGTGTGACTTCTCACTTTCTAGTTCACTTGTTTTGGTGTTGACTGTTTCCTTGACCTGAAGTTTGACTTTGTTTTTGTGTGAATTTCTTCGTATGGATTGGTATATTTTGTCAATCTCTATGTGTTTATTGATTGCTGATTCATTTGAATACTAGGCCTCTAGGAATTCTCTGGCATTTTTGCAGTTCCCTTTGTCTAAGATTTGAACATTGTCCCAGTCGAATTGGTGCCCGTGGTTGTCTGCATGTAGTGATATGAGGGAGTGTATGTCGTGTCTTTTGACAGCTAGTTTGTGTTCGTGAATGCGAAGACGAAGAGGGCGTCCACTTTGACCAATGTAATGTTTGTCGCAGTCGTTGCAACTTATCTTGTAGATGACGTTAGTTTTGTCTTCTTTTGTCGTTGAGTCCTTTGGTTTACATAGAACTGAGTGTAGTGACTTTGTTGGTTTATGAGCGACATCGATTCCAAAAGGTTTGAATAGTCTTGCAGTGATTTCGGAGATATCTTTTATATATGGTAGGACGACTTTCTTTGTGTTTTCGCTGGTGGCCTTTGATTTGGTTGGTTGAGCTGGGGGTAGATGTCTTTTGATGAAGTTTCATGGGTATCCATTTCTTTGGAAGACGTCCATAAGATGATTTTGTTCAATTTTCCTCAAGGCGGGAGTGCTGCAATGAGTCCTGGCTCTCTTGAACAATGTACGTATGCAGCTAATTTTGTGTGATGTTGTGTTGTTACTGTTGTAATTCAGTATTTGATCCGTGTGCATTGGTTTTCTGTATACTTGGGTTTCTAATTTTCCTGTAGTTGTTCGTTTGATTAAGACGTCTAAAAATGGGATTTTGTTTTCATATTCTTCTTCTCTTGTGAATTTGACGTCGTTGAAGGTGTTGTTTATTATGTTGTGGGTATTGTCTAAGTTTTCTCTTTTGATTATCACGAATGTATCATCTATGTAGCGTATCCAAATTTTCGGTTTGATCTTTGGCAGAATTATGTTTTCCAGTCTTTGCATGATGGCTTCTGCAATCAATCCTGATATGGGTGATCCCATAGGTGTCCCTTGAATTTGTTCATACATTTGGCCGTTGAATTGGAAATAAGTTGTGAGACACAAGTTTATGCATTCCATCCAACTTGAATGCTGCATTTTTGATTGTTGTATGTGTTCGTCGTTGTTGAGTAGTTGTTCCATGGTTTCTTTTGCTAGTTTTAGTCCAATCGAAGTATATAATGCCGTGACGTCGAAGGATACCATTATTTCTTGGCTGTCTATTTCAATGCCTTTGATTTTCTCTAAAAATTGGGTCGCAGATTTGATGGAGTGATCACATGATTTCGTCAAGTGTTTCAGTCTTCTGTATAGTTCTTTGGATAAATTGTATGTTGGGGTTCCTGGGAGTGATACGATTGGTCGTAGAGGTATATTTGGCTTGTGTATTTTTGGTCTGCCGTAGAATCGAGGTATGACGGGTCCATTGGGTTTCATTCGCCATTGATCTTCTTTTGTGATCTGACCCGTTTTGGTGAGTTTGCTTAGGGTTCTTTGGATGCGGTTGTTTAGTGTTTCGATGGGGTTTGTTGTTAGTTGTTGGTATATTGTTTGATCTTTGAGTAGTTCTTCCGCTTTTGCAGTGTATTCTTCTTTGTCCATGATTACTGTAGTCCTTCGTTTGTCAGCTGGTACTATAACGATATCTTTCCTGTTTTTCAGTCTTCTGAGGGCTTTTTGTTCTTGTGAGTTGAGTTGTGTGTGTCGTTTTCTTTGTTTAACTATAGGCACTATTGTTTGACGTATCTCTTCTTGTGTTTCTTCACTTAATTTTGATGATTTGAGTGTTGATTCAAGAGCAGCGAAGAAGTCTGTTTTCGAGGCGTCTTCAGTGTTGTAGTTTAATCCTTTTTGAAGTAGTTGTTGTTCCATTTTTGACAGCGGCTGTTTTGATAAATTGACTACGCAATCAATTGGTGTATTGTTCGGCTGTTGTTTTTTGATTTTGGTTAGCTTGGTTCTGAGAACTTTTCGTCTACGTTCTCTGTGTCTACTACTTGTCAGTGCGATTGCGCTGATCATTGTTGAAAGGTGTTCTTGGCTGAGGATTTTCTCTAGTTTCTCTTTTTCAAAGTCCATTATTTGTTGATATTTCTTGATTCTATAATGTGCATCTGTAATCATTAGTTTAACCATTTTTCTTCCACATTGTTCAGCTAATTTCCATCCCATTGGGCAGTTGATTGGTGGCTTATATCTCACGCTGGTTGGTAGAATTTGATGACGATGGCACTCATGGAGAAAAAATAGTTGTTCTCTGGTGGATCCTTGCCGTTTGGCAAAGTCTTCTCACTTTCGAACAGAAAGAAGCGTGTTCTGCTCGTATGATTTAGATATAATAGAGAAGATTTCCTTGGACTGTGTATTTCTTCAGATCACCTTTCCTGGTCTTCCCACATCATGTTAGTTTCCAGGAAAGATATTTCGTTTGACGTTCTGTGTAAGGAAGTTAAGACTATCTGTTATCATCCCGTCTCTACTGTTACCTTTGTTGATTTTTGTATTCTGCTAATACTTCTTTACTGTTCCCCTACCTTAATCTTTCCTGGGCTGCTTCACAAAGAATTCGTTATCCTACGTAGGGCACTAAAAGCTGTCAGTAGGGTGAGTGGGGTGTTGCTAATTCAACTCGTTAATACTGTTGCAGATAGACACATGGACTCCTGGAAGAAATTAGCAAATACCATACTATCAGACGCTGAACATCCTCTCTATACACAACTCTCTCCTTGCATCTCCTGGGGTAGGAGAAGTAGAAGCATAGGAGGCTGTATGCTCGGACGACTAAGCACAAAAACTGTACAATACCTTATTTGGCCGGCATACATTTTGTGCGATGAAAAAAGTGTGTAAGACAGGAAATTACCAACTTGCTGAGGAACGCTAAGTAAACGGCACTGGTTTTTTTAACTGATTAAAAATTTTTTCTTAAAAGAATGTTTACCGAACAAAGAATATTCTTTTCGATAACTTGCTCTTCATCAGGTTCTACAGTTATATATACATAATAGTGAATGAATTAATGTTATTAACAACATCAGTGTTGCTTAAAAAACATCGAATCAATAATAATAATAATAATAATATCAATGCATTACAGTTCGATAGCATCAACATAACACTACACACTGAATATCAGACAGGCGAATTGGGAAAAATAATAATACAAATTCATAAATTTATAGTCTCCACTGAATGCCGGCCAGGGCAGTAGAAGTGACTATCTGAACGTGTTTCTTCTGCACACAAAGCACTGGTTGTTTCACGCGAATCGCGATAGCCTCTGCTGTTTGGATTATGCCATACCTGGATGTTTTTGGCAATTTATTTGGTCCCCGGTAGATGATGGAGAAGGATTCTTCAATGCTGGGTGGCTTTGTGGCCGACCAGTTCGGACCAGGTGGTTTAATATCGAACTGTTAATGGTTTTTACTACACCTTTACTTAGCCACACCACATTGGTAGATGTTCCCTGTCGAGCACGAGAAATCAAGTTTCTAGAGCAACAGCCAATGTAACTCCTTTCACCACAAGCGCAATTGAATTGGTAGATACAATTAGAATTGGCTGTCTAGTCTAGGTACTTCATCTTTCAATCCAGGAATCACCATCGGTTGTGTAGAAAATAAGACTTTTAGTTCACCAGAACTGTCAGGGAAATCAGGAAGAAATGGAGGTGGACTGGCCATACTCTGAGAAATCAAACCATCAAGTAAGTGACATCACAAGACAGGCCCTCGCTCGAGTGGAACCCGAACGGGAAGCGGCGAGTCGGTCGTCAGTGTGATGGTGGGGTGATATGGAAGAGGTCATGTGAAGAGTATAGATAAAAGCATGTGGGCAGACGTGGAGCCAAGTGAACCGGGTTGGCAGAGAACCGAACGCATTGGAGACGTGCTGCTGAAGCCCTATGTTCCTCCAGGAACTAAAAGAAACAATAATAATAATAGTGATCAGGGAAATCAACCCCCTGTTATAATTATCACTCCTGTAATGAGAAAATCAGATGCAATATTGTATTACTTGCTGAAAATTGCATATTTGTATCAAAGGTACTGTATAACTTTGGTTTCTCTCGATACGAAACTTTAATCATTTTATTTTTGTTTTCATATATGTTTTTCGCTTGAACAGAGAGGAGACAACACAGAGAATCCCCTCCAATATGACAACAACCCATTCCTATAAAACATCATCAAATATCTACTCATCACCAGCAAATCATGATCCGCTTACTCAACAAAAACAATTACTTTATGAACAAGACAATCGGTTAGATCAATTAGGTACAACAATATCAAATCTGAAAGGAATGTCACAACGTATCGGTGATGAATTAAGCGATCAAGTCGTTCTGCTGGATGATTTCTCTAGTGAAATGATCAGTACAGAGTCTAGACTTGACTCAGTCACGAAACGAACTGCTCGCCTATTACACTTGAGTACAGATCGTCGACAATGGTGTGCAATATTCTCTTTGTTAATTACCCTGATAATTATATTGATTTTATTGGCTGTTCTTTAAGAGTGTGTGTGCGTTGCTGGTGTCAATCGATCATGATATATCCTCTGTGCTGATTTCTCTCTCTCTTCTCTATTACACCTACCTAATCTTATTCTATGTGTTGTGTATATGTACCATTACAGTTCTTTTCTTTCTTTCGTTAAGTCATGATCTTTTGTGATTTTCACTTCTGAAGGTGTGGGCTAACTGTTTTGACTTCCTTCCAATGTGAAGAAGATGTCCTGTCCATTTTGTTTCTTTTATACGTGTGTGAGTGTTTGTTCAGAGCGTTATTCAGCCATACATTTTTTCTATTCTCTATCCATTGTCTGATTATCTTGGTTATCTTTTTTGTGTCATCCTGTAAATTTGTTGCACTTCTCTTTTTCTCTCTCTCAAAAGTTCCATTTTATCATTTGTGGATTGATTATTTCAAAACAATCCAATCCCGGCTTATCTGTGATTTACCCTTGTGTGCGCGTGTGTGTGTGTGGCGCCTATTGTTTTCTTAACATAAGATGATGAATAGGAAAGAAATTGAGGAGATAAATAGAAGAAAAAGATCAAATTAATTGTCTTGTTTTAATGTACTTTTTACTTCTTTTTGTTTTTGTCTTGATTTTGGAAATGATTCAACGTTGTTGTTTTTTTTTTTGAAAGAAGATGAGTTTACTTCCAATAAACAAGCTTTGTGTTTTTTTCCTCAAGTGCTGAAAGTGTGATGTGGTTGGTTGAGCAACTGGGAATTTCTGTGCTTGTGAATTATTTTATTTTGTGGCGTGGTTTGCGTTGCGAATGGGACATAGGGTTTTAAGCTTCAGTGGTTGAGGTTTGAAGTTTCGAAAGCGGTGCCTATTTTATGCGGTTAGGGTTGCTAGCCCCATACTGTCCCACTGTCTCCTTCGGAGTTACAGCTGTTTCCTTCTAGTTTGGGAACTCTTCGGCAGTACACACCCACTGGGGGTACGTAACCTGTCATATGCTCTGATGGTGTTCTCGTGACTTTTGTTGCCAGATCTGCCAAGGGCGATGGGATAGTACACGACCTAATGGTTGTGTGCGAGGTTTGAAGAAGGCTGTGTGTTATTTGCATGCGCCTCACCCTGATAATGTTGGCGACGAAATCTGAACATGGATCCAAAAAGCTCGAGCTGCTTTCGCTAACTTACACCACCTCTGGCGTAGGTGTGACATCCGGCTATCAACCAAGGGACGTGTGTACTGCTCAGCAGTTCGCTCCGTCCTTCTCTATGGCTCTGAAACATGGCCAATACGAGTTGAAGACATGAAAAGGTTGACTGTTTTTGATCATAGATGTCTACGATCTCCTTCTCACGTTAGGTGGTATAATTGAAACGACAGAAGGCAAGAGTCAGGCAACAGATCATTTATTAAGGAAATCAACGCATATTTATATATTTTCATTTACATTACTATGAATATTTAAGTAAACAAACACAGTCTTCCGATTGGTTGTTTCTCACGTAAAGTTAATCTTTCATCTATTTGTGACTGTTTCTTGAATGTCAAATCCTCTATATGTTAACTGCATCCGCCTACGCAAAGTCTGCTGTGGTCGGTTTTGAATCAATCTTTGTTCACATTTTCTCACGACAAATCTTGGGAACGTAAATATTGACGTAAATTACTGTCTACCAATTTGGCTAGTAGACAGCTCTCACCACATAATAAGGTAAGTAATGTTGACGTTAGGCGTAGAGTATTGGGCAAAGAGAGAAAATCAATCGACGAGGCTATAAAGTTACATAGATTGAGATGGCTAGGTCACGTGCTGCGCCTACCTAACCATCGTCTCCCCCGACGGACGGGCATTACTAGCTGATATATGTGCAGGTAGGAAAAGAGTAATTGGTGGCCAAACAATAACATGGCCTCATCAATCCATGAAATGCTTGACAGTTAAACTGAGTCAGGTAGGGAGATGCATAGTTCCGGGTTGGGGCCCTCGGGACTCTAAGAATCAATGGCTGGAGACAATAGGTGACATGACTGAAAATCGTTGTCAATGGCTTATGCAGATGTATTCAGTCTCTGTAACCTTTCATATTCCTTTCTACCATTACTCATTCTGTTTCACTCTTATACTTGTCAAAACTCTATTGATTCTCTTCACTCATTTTCCTGTCTACCTTTGTGTGGTATTTGGAACGTGGCAACTCGAACTGTTACACTTCGGTGCCACGTTCTATGTTGAATCCAGACAGACACACCCACTGGGTTTGGAACCCTGAACTTTCTGGTTACAAGGCAAGCTCGTAGACCATTCGGTCACTAGGACCCATGGTCAAACCTGAAATAAATCGAATCCCCATAAACTTACTCTGAGAAGTTAATTTGATGATCCCTGGTGACTGACTGGCTACAGGATACAGTTACCTGGAGTTCTAATGAGAAGTCGTTACCAGTGGGGGTACAGAAGGTAGAGTGTGAGGACAAATACTCGAATACAGAGGGCTAGTTTCGCATATGCCAGTTTACACCGTCTCTGGCGTAGACATGATATCCGACTATCGACCAAAGGGCGTGTGTACTGCTCAACAGTCCGCTCCGTCCTCCTTTATGGCTGTGAGAGCGGAAAACATGAAAAGATTAGCTGTCTTTGATCATAGGTGCCTGCGTTCTATCTCCCGTGTGGAGTGGTATAATAAGGTGAGCAATATTGAGGTTAGGCATCGAGTTCTAGGTAAGGTGGGGAAATCAATCGACGAGGCTGTAAAGTTACACCGATTGAGATGGTTAGGACATGTGTTACGTAGGCCTAGTCATCGCCTTCCTCGACGGGCAATGTTAACTGACATAGGATCCGGCTGGAAAAGAGGAAGCTAGTGGTGGTCAAACCAAAACATGGCTTCATCAGTCAATGAAATCCACAACAGTTAGTTTAAGCCAGCCAGTCACCTAGGATGGGGTAGACTTCCTGAATGGTTGGGGTCCTCAGGATGGTAAAAACCAATGAAGGCTGGAGACGATTGGTGATATTGCTCAAAATCGTTCTCAATGACAGCACAGATGTATCCACTCCTTGTAACTTATGATTTCAAATGAAATTTTATTGTTCTTCGATATTACTATTCTTTTTGTCTCATATCTCTGTTTACTGTCTCTATTATGCATTTCTTCTACCTTCCTCTCTTGCTATGTGTGCTACATGGAGTGTGGCGACTTGAACTGCCGCACATATGTGCAAAGTTCTATGTCGAAAACAGACTGACTCGCCACCGGTGACACTGGCTAGTGATTGCACTGTATCATGAATTGGTAGAAGTTGGAATTCATGGGCTGGTTCCAGTGGCCTTATGGTCTACGAGCTCGCCTTGTAACCAGAAAGTTGAGGGTTCAAACCCTGATGGGTTGGTGCGTACTTGATAAAGAGTCACGAACAAGGACGAAACAGCTAGCCAGGTTTCCCAGTGATTCTCTAACCGGTGTCAGCTAATGATGGAATCCTGGGACCAGTTAAATCCCTGCAAACCAATACTTGAATGAAATCTCATAGTTTGTGTGAGGACGGAGTTACAGCTTTGAAGGCCAGATGGTTGTCTTGGGGGGCCACCCCGTCAGCCTTCCACTAGGTAGATCTGAATACTCACCGTTTCGGTTATATGAACCAGACGTTCACATTTAGCCTTTCGCTTTTGTGAGATAAGCAAACCGAAGTCTACTTACCCTCGTCTGTATCAGGTCGTTTTTAATGGAGGGATGGGGGGGGGGCGTTGACTAGTAAACCAGGCGAAGTCTAGGAGTACGTCGGTGGGGAATCGAACCTAGGTCAGAGCTGAACCATCAACTCACTACTAACCAAAACATGTTACACAATAAGAAATTGTATAAAGTTAGTCATAGCGAAAGTGGAGCTACGATTCATTCATATCAATCATGCTCAAGTTTCAATAGTAGACAATGGCTTCTAGTAGTCCGATTTTGCGTTCGAAACTTTCTGCAGCCATGTAGTAAGTGTCATTAACGTTTAATGTCTGCATAACTTATTGTGAATTATAGGAGTGCAACAGATGGTTTTCAAGAGACAATTATTAGCCATAATACGGGAAATATAAGAAATCAAAACAGTTATTTTCAAGTATTGACTTGCAAGAATTTGGTTGATGTTTCAAGTTAGGTGATCAATTGATGTCTGCTGGATACAACTGTTTCGTCCTACTTGGGGACTCTTCAGTGCCCTGCATAAAACGACCTGGTACGGCTGAGAGTGGGTTGACTTAAGAGTCTTCCTTTCGAAATATTCCCACGTGGTCATCCGTCCATAACTTCTGTCTACACCTAGCGAGGTTGTTCCTCACAAAAATGGAAGCGAACATCTGGTGCCAACAACCGGACTGGTGTACATATACAGGTCCATCCATTGGTTCCATATTACTTTTTTGATTAGATATATCACAGTGAGTGAAACAGTACTATTTACTGGATGACGTTTTGAACAAAATTTATTGCGGTTCAGAATTATATCAGTTATAAACACACACGACTTCGAAACTTGAGTTTTACAGTTTTCTTTGTTTTCTTCCATTTGTATTAGGGGTAGTAGGATTTTCCAGATATCTGACTGGACAGGTGTTGAATCATTCCTATTACATGTATTTACATGTACATGCGTCGGTGGCACAGCGGTTAGGACTCTCGCTAACCATGCACATGGTCCGAGGTTCGATCCCTCGCCGACGCACACTTGATATTTATGGTCGGCCTGCTAAATTTGGGCTACCGATATCACATGCTGAAAATTTCACACTTGTACCAAAATATTCTGTGGAATCAAGCTATAATAAAATATTTTAAAAAAATATTTAAAATTTGCAGTTGACTCGATAAACAAAGCTTCCGAAATCAATCTCTCCTTCCGTCCAGTTATATTAGATTTTAGTACTGTCATCTTATCTCATCATCCTATTTTATGGTTGTGTGTAATTGCATGTAGTCAGTGCTATAGCTTAACTATTCTCTGGATTTCTTATCTCATTACGGTCAACCAATCTAGATTTTGCTAGGTTTTTATGCTCGGCTAGTATGACTGCACTTGTTCTACTACTTTGACCTATGTATTTG